AATATAAAGTATTCAATATTCATAAGAACTCTAGAAATATAATATTGTTTCCATTTTATAAAATAAAAAAACTGAAGCTCAGAGAGTTTAGGAAACTTGCCCAAGGTTATATAACTTGAAAGGCATTAAACCACAGTTCAAATACATAGCTGTGCTTCTTACTATGCTTTGAGTGAGTCCACTTTGAAAGGGCAGAAAAACCTGTGATATTGAAATGGGAGAATCAGCAAAATGTTTTTTTAAAGATTATTTATTTATTTATTTATTTATTTATTTATTTATTTATTTTTAGAGAGAGGGGAAGGGAGGGAGAGAGGCAGAGAAACATCAGTATGCAAGAGAAACATTGATTGGTTGCCTCATGTATGCCTCCAACTGGGGACCTGGCTGGCAACCCAGGCAAGGGCCCTGACTGGGAATCGAACCGGCAACCTTTTGGTTCGCAGTCTAGCACTCAATCCACTGAGCCACACCAGTCAGGGCAACAAAATATTTTTTAAACGTAAAATATCTTGACTATATTAACAGGACACAGGGAGACAATATTGGAAACATAGCTTGAAAGCACTGATGCAAGAATTAACATAGAAAAGGAAAATCTAAGGATTATAAGATTAAAGTCTTGGATTAGGAGAAAAGAGTGATTTGGGAGTATAAAGGGACTTAGGAGAAACGCACTGCAACTCTCGCAGTAAGGACCTCGCTGCAGGACGCCGCGCTGCGTCTATTAGCATCCTGTCTCCCTGCCACCTGGACCAAACCCCCCTGCCCCGAGGAGTGCTGCCCGGCTGTTCAGGAGGGGCTGATCCAGAGCGCTGCCAGCGCTCAAGGGGGGCTCGGCACCTTGGCAAATGATGGGAACACGCTGCCTTCCTGGCCTTAGCCATTGATTCAAGGATGGCAGGCTTCCAAGGCAGGCCAGTCAGAATCTTCCATGGATTTTTTTTTTTTTAATGCAGGAGATATAGCAAAAGCTGGCCCTTTTAAAGTGAAGTTATAAAACTGAAAGGACACAGACCGGGCCGGGCCACACCAGGCAGCAGCCATGGTGCCCGCTTTGTGGCCGACCCATATAATTAAGGCAAGAAAATGTAAAGAAACCGGAGATACAAAGACAGATTGCTGAGGACAAAATATGAACTCTGGAATCCAACCATGTCAAAGCCACCTCTGCTCTGGACTTCCCCATTAGGTGAGCCAATTAATTTCCTTCGTAATTTAAGCTACTTTGAGCCAAAATTGTATCAGAGTAGCAGAGAGAGTCCTGAATAGTATAATGTCACCAACACTTTTACTTATAAAAACATTAGGAAGCCTCTACCTTGTCACCTTGGACTCTGTGGAATCTTTATTTTAAAAAAACTAAGAAGTAGCTCTGCTTCTCATTTCTTATGGCTATTGGTTAAATCTTACCCTAAAAGCTGCCTTTCTGGGGGATGCATTAAAAAATTCGTAATTTCTAAAACTTATTTTATTTTGAAATAAAGTATACAGATAAATACCATATGATTTCACTTATATGTGGAATATATAGAAGAGAATAAACAAACAAAACAGAAACAGACTCACAGCTACAGAAAACAGGCTGCGGGGTGCCAGAGGGCGGGGTTGGGGGCTGGGAGAGAAAGGTGAGGGGTTGAGAGGTACGGATTGGTGGTTACAAAATAGTCATGAGATGTACAGTACAGCATAGGAATTTTTTTTTTACTTTGAATGATTTTTAATTTTGCATTTCATATATTAGCCAGTTTCACATTCTCACAGCAGCAGCAATTTAAAAAAGCCACTTCATCTCCCAAGTCTGAAAGCAGCTAGAACATTCTTCTCCAGCTGCAAATGATAAGTTTCTTGTAATTTCATCAATACATATAACAGCACCTATTGTGATAAACACTTAACTCTTCCACTGTTTAAACTACGACAAGTTACGAAGCTGTTTTCAAAGACTCCGGAAATATCCAAGCAGGAGGGTAATCATCTCCTAAAACTACTTAGGCATGAGAAAAGGTAAAAATTCTAAACTTTTATTTTTGAACACCCTTTCATTTTTGGTCTTGCCTGCCTGTCTGGCAGTGAATGTAAAGCAGAAACGACCACGGGGAGGCAAAGAGGCAGCTCTGACGATGGTTCACGTGGAGCTGCCCGAGGACGTCCGGCAGAGAAAAGAGGCAACAGCTTACGTAACTGATAACACTTGGTAGGACCCTACTAATGTCTCTCTCTAGAACCTGAGACAGTGTGTTTGAGCAATTGTTTAAGCGAGACTGTATTCTCCTACCTATTTGAACCACGCAGGCAAAACTAAGGAGGAAAAAAATTATAGTTAACTTTTCTTATTCAGATTGGTTATTGGGATGGGTTGGTTAGTTAATGAAATATGCTGATAAACAGAAATATTGCAAATACTGTCAATTAGAAATTACAGCATGTTTTTCATTAACACTATGCTGAATATCATCAGTTCATCTGTCTTCAAAGATTCTGAAGGCATTTCTGTATTTCCAGTTATTTTATAAGCCCTGGAAACAACTGCATAATCATAAATATAAATGCAGAAAGTATAAGAGCCTAGAGAGAATTTCTATCTATCTTGTGATGTACATTAAAAGCAATTTTGTTGAATAAGTTTACAATGGCCAACTTGCCATATAACCCTTATAATAAGAGAGGAGATAATGTAGAAAAAATTCCGGGCATTTGAATTTTCAGATTATTTGATTCATTCTCTTTCTTTCTCTCTCTCTCTCTCTCTCTCTCTCTCAGCAAAAGGTGCTTCCAAACAAATATGAACTTACAAGTAACTAAACCTCTGTTAAATCTTATAACAGATTTCTCAGACAGAGGTGCTTCTCAATGAATTTCAATCAATATATTATAAAGTGTTTAAGAGGATAACAGGTCTAAAGTGCTAAACTGGGATACACTCAAAGATCACTTTGTGGAAGAGCAAGGTCACCACCCACGGCCGGGATGTCACCTCTCACCAGAGTGACTGCAAAGGCTCCTGTGGAGGGACGGGGCTCTGAGCCGGGGTGAGGATCCCCACTGCACACAGTCTCCAGCCCCCGCCGTCGGGACCTGAGAGTTCTACAGAGTGGGCGGGTTTAGTAGCGCAGAATTTGTGACCCTACACTGCTCAGTTATCACAGGGAGTCCCAAGGAGACAGGCTCTGGAGATATCGAAGAAAGAGGGATGACAAGGACAAGGTCAGGAAGACTCACAACAGGTGATAATGCAACAGAGAAAGAAATCAAGCTCAAAGTTGAATAAGGTGAACAATCACAATTGTACATCCAATCATTAGAACCAAGTTATCAGAACTAGGACCATATTATACCAGTTTGTCTCCATTTCCAGAATGTAAACCTGAAAGAATTGCTTTCATTTTAAACTTGCTGAGCCTCTCTACTGCATTTGACATTACACATTGCTTCCTCCCAGGTGAAAATCCAGACATCTTTCAAGGATTCCTCTTCCCCATCAGCCCTTTAAATATCTGGCATCTCTAAGCTCTATCTTGTTCTTCTTACCCTATTTATTCTTCTTAGATGATGTGATCCACTTTTGTAATTTCAGCTTTGATTTTTTTTTACCAGCGTCAGTTGCCAGTGTCCACCTGGTTGCTGGACAGCTTCATGCAGATACCCCCCAAAAATACAAACTCAGGGAACTTGAAACAAAACCCACCATCCACTCCTAACCCTTCTTCCGCATTCACTCTCAATGGATGCATGTTTTTCCTAGCTCAGCTCAAAATACCACAATTCACCCAGCCACCAGAGCTAGAAAACTAGGCATGGTGCTTCTCACCCTTCTTTGTCGGTCCGTCCATGAAACCTACCGATTTTGCCTCCTGCATGTTTCTTAATTCTGTTCTCCTTCTCTGAGTCTGAACATCTCTCACTTAGATTGATGCTTCCTGTTCCCTCTGCTGCTGCTTGCCCCTCCAGTCCCACCTGGACGCAGGTGGGATACGGATGCACCGGAAATGAGCAGGTGACTGCCATTCCCTCACTTCTCACCGACCAGTGGGTCCTCCTTCGCTTTAGAATGAGGCCCACCTTTCGCGACATGATTACAAAGTCTTCCTAACCTGGCCCCTTGCCCATCTGACCGTTTTTACCTCATACTTCTCCCTGCGCACAATTTCTATACCAACTGCACAGGAACTGTCGTTTCACATCGTTCCCTTTATATGCTGTGCCCTTCTATGTTTCCATAGAACATTTGTTCACCTGTTCCTTTTGTCTAACAATCTCTACTCCCTCCCCTTCCCGTCTCGCCTCCTCCACCCTCAATTATTGTGTCTTGGCAAAGCTTCCACCCCCTTCCAGAAAGCCTTTCCTGGAAGTTCGGGGTTGGGTAATTCTTCTATTATTCTCTTACTTTGTGTATCTGCTTTCACTCAATGCACGGTAAGTTCTCTGTAAGTTCTTTAATAAACTTAAGAAAAATCAGTAAAGACATAAGAATAAAAATAGCAAGTATGTGCCTCCATTCTCCATGCCCCATTCTGGACTCTGAGGCCCTTGAGAACAGAAGCCATAAGTTATTTGTATCTGCCATCCCGCCTTCTAGCCCAGCACGGACGTGGATGCTCAAGGAATGCTCTGCTACGTGCAAAGGGCCAAGGACAAAGAGGGTACACAAAAATAAACCACAGAAGAGACAAAACTCCTTGTCACGTCCCTTCTCAGTGGCCCTGGTCCTGCTCTCATCTGGGCAGTTACACTGACTTCTTCAGTTTTGGAGGGTTCTGGTTAAAAATAACTCCAAATCATCAATGTATTCCCTTCTAGCCTTCTCAATTAATTCTACTGTGGAACTATCCTGTTCTTGACTTCAGATCTCTGACTTTATCACCAAAGGTCCATTTTAGAAGATAGGCCATGTGCACTGTCCATCAGGTAAATGAAAAATAAGGAAGGAGGACAGAACCAAGCGGAAAACAACGTCAGCGTGGCGGCACTCTGCCACTTGTCACGTGGACACTACTTACATGTAGCAGCAGCACAGCAGCAAGGAAAGACTGCCCCTGGCAGTAGCCGATGTCCTCGTCGTAGACCGAGTAGGCCTGGAGGGGGAGGAGAGAGAGGAATCATGTCAACGTTCACAGGCTTTCCACTGAGGCACCAGCTCCCTCCCACCGGGTTGCCCACATGATGTCACAGGCCCTTCCACCTGAATGTGGGGTCACGAGCACAGGGGCACGTCCGAAGTGGCCGCACCTTCCCTACAGCTTTGTAGGTGCCCTGTTATCTCCAGGCTCCTCTTCAGGATTCACGATGAAGAGACGCTCAGAGCACCCAGGTTAATTTTAAACAGCCACTGAGGTCTGCTGTCAGGTGAATGAAATCATGGGAGGCAGGGGCTACGGACAGGGGAGGGTGGGGAGGTCTGAGCTCATGTGGGGTCTGATGCTCCCTATGGGGAAGTCTTGATGCTGTTGAACATGCGGCGCAGATTCCCTAACCTACCAGACAAGAGAATCACCCCCCACAGCCTCCAGACGTCCTCAAACACCTCCTGGACTGCTCTCCCGCTGTCCAGCATGTGAAAGGGGAACGCGGCCCTCCCATCGATACCACAGAGGCAAAGCAGGGACAGTGGGCCTCGCCGGCACGTTCCACGGAATGGCTGAGAGAGCCACATGCCACACGTGCGCCTACCCACCAGCGTGGGTGTTCTGGATTCACCACCTTTAACGTCATTCTAACCAGGCCACAGGCACTCAGCCGAAGAGGCCCATTCACAGAAAATCTAGCACTTCTGGGGACAGCTCTGATACCAGGTAACTCAGGGTTCACCTTAAGTCTTCAGAGGAAAGGAAATAAGGTTGTATGCTTAAGATACAGTAACCAGTACTTCAAAGTGCTGACAGTATAGTTTTTTAAGAAGACACCCATCATAAGTTTGTAAGAAGCTGACTCAATGATAGTAGGTGTGGTGTGCTGATCAAAGAGTAAAGATCAGGAATTAGTAAGCTTTTTCTGTAAAAGTCCAAAGAGTAAATATTTTTGGCTTTGTGACACTGATATATCTGAGACATATTGTTTTTTTTTAAACAACCCCTTAAAATATCAAAACCACCTGCAGTTCAAGGGTGGTACAAAAGAAGGAAGCATGGGCTGTAGTTTACAGACCCATTCGGGTGTCCCCACAATTATTCAGAACAGAAACACATCCCCGCTGTGCTGGATGAACCCTGGACATGCACCCCGTCCACGTGCTGGGCTTCGTCTTAGTCAGGGGACTTCCATTTAACGTGCAAGTACGAAAACCGCCTGTGTGGGGAGCGGTTAGCAAAGACGCTCAGGCGGGGCTGCGGGGGGGAGGTGCCATCCCCCCTGCGCCAAAGAAGTCAGAGTACAGTGTCTGTATCTCTTTTGTTACCTAAAAAATATATTGGAATGCAGAGTTTGTGGCCAATGAAATGCACACATTTTAATTGCACAATTCTTTAGTTGGGTCATTTATGTAACTCATCATTATAGAAGATGTCCATCATTCCAGAACATCTCCCAACGCCTCTTTGCAGTCAAGCCGAAGCAAGCTCTGGTCTCATTTTATCACAATATGTTATTAGACGTGTAATTAGATTTTCAAAGAATTTCATATACATGGAATCACGTTGCAAGGGTGTGCGCTCTGTTGGGCCTGGCTCCTTTTACTCGGCCTAATGGCTCCGAAGCTCTGCCACGCCGCGGCCTGGGCCAGCAGTCCTTCCGTTTAATTGCTGAGTGGTATTCCACTATCTGAGCAAGCCACAGCTTGCTTATCCACGCTCCCGCTGAGGGTTTTTTCCTTAGTTTTTGGCTAGTAAGAATAAAGGTGCTATGTATACACATGTATACAGAAGGCTTTGTGTGGACACAGGTTTTTGTTTTTCTTAGGTAAATAACGAGGAGCAGAGGTTCAAAGTTCCAACCGTAAGTGAATGCTTAGTTCGATGAGAAACGCCAGGCGGCTTTTTCAAAGTGGCTGCACCATCCCTGCGCCCACAGCCGCCACGGAGGAGCACTCGGTGCTTCGCATCCTGTCATGCTTGGTATTGCCAGTCTCCTTCCTCTTAGTAATGCCTGTGGTTTTGATTTGCATTTTCCTAACAGTTAATGACACAGCGCATTCTATCCTGTGCTTTTAGGCACTGATGTATATTCCTCTGTCACTGTCTCTTCAAGTTCTTGCTCATTTGTTCAGTTATGTTGTCTTCCTTATTATTACTGACTCATAGGATCTCTTCATACATTCCGTTTACAAGTCTACTGTCAGACTCCGATGCCAGTAATGTCTCCCAGCGTATGCCCTGCCCTTTCCTTTACTTAATGGTGTCTGTTGAAATATCTCCTTCCCTTTTAACCTTTTTCTGCTAATGATGATATTACCACACTCTCTTCCACTGAGAGAAAATTAGACCATGGGATCATTACCTAATGAATCTGAAAGGAGCTTTTCTTCATTATCATCAGTTGCCAGAGCTCTGCTGAATTTTTAGAATTGGAAGAGGGATTAGCATTCTTTTACTGTGAAAATGTTCTTTGACTTATACGGAGAGATTCCCGATTGCTTCGCTTGTGCTTCTCCCCAGAGCTGGTGGGTGCATGGAGCGGGCACGTGGGGCGGGGGCTGGCAGGGGCCGGTGGGCAGAGGGGCAGGGCCAGCGCCGCGGCTGCGGGAAGAGGGGACGGGTTCCGACGCCGTCCCCACTGCAGCCCTCTGGTGGCGCTGTCACTGCCGCTTCCACAACAGGGGATTCGGGGAGGTGCTGGTCGCAGACCAGGGCACCTGAGCAGTAGAGAGTCAGCACCTCCCCTACCCCCGAGACTCCATCTCCGAAAGCCCATCCTTCTTCCCAGCCCTGACATTACTCTGACAAATGCTGGAGTCATCGTTACATAAGTCTATTTAACATCTATTGAGAGTTATTCATATGCTTGTTTGTGTTACAAGAGAAGCCCAATGAAATGCCAAGGCCCAGTGCATGCGGCACAGAGAGGGCCTGGGCGCGGGGACCCCACAGAGGAGCCTCTCCCTGGGGAGCCGGGGATGGCAGTGCGAGGCAGTAGTGCACTCGTCTTTCCTCCTGCCTGGTGTATCACTTGGGGGTAGGTGAGTAGGAAGGATGACTTTTTCAGAGGTCACTTACTAAATTGATTTTATGATTCACAGTTTGAAACACAGTGTTCTAGGAGCTCTTCTGCTTGGAGTTCTAAGCACTGCTTGGCTGTAGTCTAAGCCTTCTCCCCCTGAACTGAACCGATCCTTCCCTCTCCTCAAAACTTGCCCCTCTTTACCTCAAACCTCTCCCCACTCCTGCCTTCAACTGCTTTGCTGGCCGGATGCCTGCTCCGTCTGACTCTTAAAAACCACCCGGGCAGGTGCCGCTTCTGCAGTGGAGATGTGGCTCCTAGTGGACCCCCCTTCCCTCTGGAAACACACTTAAACTGTATCTGGACAAACATACAGAACAAATCTGTGAAGGCGTTGAGGAGCTAAACGAAAGCGGCAGGAGCTGGAAGGGAGAAGAAACTTGAAAGAAGGCGGTGACGCTGGGTGAGAGTCTCAGTCTCCATGGCTTTTGCCAGAGTCAGGCACCAGCGGCGGGCGCCACACTGGGCGGCTAGAGCTTGCACAAGAAACTACAGTCTCACAGGCTCGAAGAAACAGGGGACACGCTGGGGTGACCCTAACAGCGAAAAAGCAAAAGTGGAAATTCTGGAAAAAAGAGAGTAACATTAGAGAAGCCCTTACTATTCTTACTGTAAAGTTACAGAATTCAAGACAGCGTAAAACTGACATTAGAACAGACAAATAATCAACAGGACAGAATAAAGTGAGAATGCATGAGTCCATTTGAAAATGATAAATAAATGGTAAGTCTGATGAGAAACAGGGTATTTACATAATTACAAATGATGCCACACAAAATATTAATTACAAAGAGACAAAGAGTAACTTCATAGTGCAGAAGGCTGGTAAGCAGCATCTTATTTATTCGATCAAAGTGATCATCACCAATAATGATGGCGCGGGGAAAGCGCAGCCGCGGGCTCCCTGCAAGAAATAAACAAGAGCAGGTCCTCCCTTCTTCTGCTACTCCTGCCACAGGCGTGCGATCTGAACACAACCGCGAGGAGACGTCGGACATGCCCAGACAGGGGCCGGTCTAAAAGATGTCTGGCCTGTCATCTCCCGAGGCGCCGAGGCCGAGGAGGCGAAGGCGGAGAGCGGCGCTGCTCCCTACAGCAGGGACCCAGGAGAGCCCCTGTGATGCTGAGCTCCTCCTCCTCCTGCTGAGGGCACTATCCGGACAGCGGGCCGAAGGCTCAGGCAGAAGCGACGCATCAGTGCCGCGCTCCTGACCTCAGCGCTGCATTACAGCTGCATAGGAGGGTAGCGCCACTTCTTAGAAAACACCTGCGAATGTTTGGCGGCCCCCATGATGGCGAATCGTGTGCAGAGAGTAGAAGAAAACAAAATTCTATACTTGCAACCTCCTGTAAGTTTGAGATTGTTTAAAAATATAGAGAAATATAAAAATGTACATATGAAAAATCTGACAGAACCATGTGTCACTTGGAGCTAAGAATAGAAAATTGGGGCTCAAAAAAGGTTATTAAGTTTGTCCTATTTGTTAGTTAAGCTTGTCCTATGTGTTGGTTAAAAGCAGAGTATCAACGTAAGCTGCAAAAATAGATTCACTGACATGAAATCATCTAAATGCTGGTGATGAAAACATAGAGGGCTAGATGTACTCACAGATACTCACAAAGCAATTTTCTTATCTAACACAGCTGGCAAACTTCCTAGATGTAACTTTCCTTTTATATAACACTTCAAAAAAAAAAAAAAGCCCTTGGCAACAATTTAAAATGGAACTAATATACTCAGTTTTCTTAAGAAAATGTAAAATAACTAGACCACCATAACCTTAAAAAAATTTAATGTCTCTATTACAAGTAAACTACTGTGTGATTATGGCAAATTAGAGGGTTTCTTTTACATTCTTGGACTTCAGGTTTCAAAAAAAAAAAACGTAAAGGCCATTCTAAAGGAACTCTAAGATAAAGCAAC